GATGACTTTCCATGCTGGAGGCTGACGAGATGGTGAGAGGGGGATCTACGGAAGTGACGTAGTACTACCTCAAACATGACGTGTCTAATAAATGAGAGACGAATTCATTGGCTCAAACAAAGAACCAAACAACTGCGCACAAACATAATCAAAATCTCTGTCAACACATCAACATATGTAGGAAAAACAAAGACATTTAAACTTTACGTTAAAACGATGCTCTGTAACATAGACGATCTTTGTTACGCGCATAATTTAACGGAGCGTCAAACCTCTCGAGGTGGGCAAGATACATTTAGAGTCCGTGATGTCTCAACTGGGAAGCTTTTCAAATGTGGGGATCTTTCCCATGTGGGAGGATTTAAGTGTGCTCCGCATTATTCCGCGGATACACGGTGATCCTGAACGTTTAATCATTAGAGCGACAGTTTGCCGTCTAAAGACAAGAGATATAGTAGTTTAAAATGCGTGGCTTTACACACGGCAGACACATATTGTAGCGCTGTATACACGATATCAGCGTCTCTGTATGTTTAAAACGTATTCGCAGTGATTTGGAGGATCTTATACATGATCTTGTGTCTTATATGCGCCTTTTACGCATTGTTTACGCACGGCGCACAGCTGCTTGAGGTGAAAGAAAACATCTATCTGTGTGTATTCCCTGTATGTGTGTGTGTGTGTGTGTGTGTGTGTGTGTGTGTGTGTGTGTGTGTGTGTGGTGGGATGCGAGGCAAAAGAGCGCCCACAGCCATTAATTGGTGGCATCCGGTCGAGACGCAGTTAAATGTGCAGGAAAGGCACGACGGGGCCGACACGGGGCCAACATGGCACATCTATCACAAGCTGCAGATCCAGCACAGAGCGGAGCAGCCAGGCCAACACAGGTCCAAATATCCACTCACAAAACGCATGTGTGCAGCTCGAGACAGCAGCCAAAGACACCTGAGGGATACTTTACTTGTTCCGCTCGGCTGTGGGAAATTCACTGAACCTCCACAGACCTGGCAACAATTACACGGGCCCCACGCTGCGTGCACATTAGCTCATGATATATTTTGTGTTTTGTAAAACTTTACAGAAACCGTAAAAACAAATCAGCATGTTCTTACTGGCAATATGGGAATCTGATTAACATTTAATGGAGAAATAAACCTGCATGTGTGGAGACTGTCAGAGCGCAGAGCAGGCTGTATTTCATACTAATATTATTCAAACAGAATATATCATCCCATTAATTGTGTGCGCTGCATTGTCTCTGTATTGTAAACACATCTGATCATATTTTGCAATGGTCCGGGATTTATGTGTTTGCGCTTGGTGGACGCTGGGCTGCTGTGAATCACACCGACCTGCCTTTGTTTCTGCAGCCTGACTGTGGTGAAGCAGGGACGCCCCCGGCTGGTTGTGCCAAGTACTGCAGCCTGGAAGAGACGTAAACAAAGACAATCCCATCATAAGAAGACAGCATCATTGGTACCCTCAGTAAAGCAGTTAATGGGACCGTTCTCCTCTAATTATCAACTGAGACACACAGCTCATTTTAATGTTCCTACAGTCTCTAAGTTATTAGCTAATAAGGCCTTTATATTTGGAATAATCTGCTTGTTAATATTTGATCCATATCTTATTTCCACTTGTCCAAAAACACACTTGTCTTCTTTTAATACCATCAGTTGTACATGTCCATAATAACACCTCAATAATGCTGTCTAATTATGTTTTTATTATTTAATGCCATCATTGACACTAGCACTTTTCTATAACCTATAACTGAATGATCCATTGCTTGGAGTGTAGTCTCCTGATTTTGTATGTCTTATTACTTGATATTTATTCATTTAATTTTGGTCTCTGTTGTCTCTGTTTTTGTCATATTTGGTGTTGTTCAATCACCATGTTACTTTTGTTGTCTTGTTAAATGCAGTATCTAATTGTGCTCATATTGTATTATTTTTGTTGAGGACCGTCGTGAAAACAAGATGGCATCTTGAGGGGTTATTCCTGATATAGTGTTTCCATGAAATATTTTAGTCTTGGGTCAGATCCAGGATTGGAAATTAACTTTTTTTGTCCACTTGCCACTGTAGCTGAGGGCCAAAAATCTCAACTCCAGTGGCACTTCCATCCACCAAAAAATCCAGATTTATTTGATTCATAGCCTGTTTATATAACATTCTAGTCTTAAAAAAATGTGGTGAAAATAAATGTATTTTATGGCTATTAGTTAAGAATTTTTGTCTCCCCAAATCCACCTGTATACACCACCCTACCGACTGTCCATGTCTTTGGAACCAAAGCAGGTGTTGCAGTTGATGTCTCAGGTCACAACATGGCTGAAAGAGTGCTGCCTCCAGCTGAACATATCTAAAACAGTTGGCATGTTTTTCTACAAAACCAACAGACCTGATAGTGATCCAGGTGAACAACTGCAGCTTGTGAAAGAAGTCAAATATCTTGGGGTCAATCGACCTTTCATTTAAGTCACATGTCAAGAAAACCTTGAAAATGGTGCAACTCAATCTTGCAAATTTTCAGTTAATTAGAAATTACATGTCTACAGAGGCTGCCGAGATGTTTCTGTACCCTATGATTTTCACTCATCTTAATAATTGTATAACAAGCTGGTCACAAGCTGATCATAGCATGTTGAAACCACTTGAATCATTATACAAACAAGCACTCAAAACACTAGACAAAAAAGACAAAGCACTTCCATCACTGCCCAATTCTAAAAAAAAAATATTAGATTTTAAGCTGTGATGACTTTAAAAAATATGTAAACTTGTGTTTGATATACAGAGTCTCCCATAACTTAGCTCCACACCACTTGTAGCGTAGGCTATATATTAACAGAAGAACAAACATTAATTGCCCATGAGAGGAGATTGGACGATTCCACTGTGGAAAAGTGCCTTTAGCCAGTCAGCCTGAGTCTGCCAGAGGTTCAAAAGAGTTGAATGGAATTCCAATTTATATCAGAAAACTTAACATTAATAGATCTTTTGGTAATCACTTAAAACAATGAGTGTTTAATACAGACACATAAATACTAAACTCTTTTCTGCTGCTGTTTAGTTTGCAGTGTTGTTCTTTATATGTTACTACCTCTAGTCGTTTTAAACATTGTATGTCCTTTTCCAGTTTTTAAATTATGTGTGTTGTTTTTGTTGATGTGTACAAATAAGTCTTTTTTCTGTGCTTTGTTGCATTTTAGGTAGCCTTGTGTAACATCTTGGCCAAAGCACTACAGATCTACAGATGAAAATTCTGTCATTTTATATCATGCATATTTATCATTTGCACACTGCTCATTCTTACATAAACTAAACTGAAATACATGATCATGACAGAGACTCTCTCTCTCTCTCTCTCACACACACACACACACACACACACAACTGTTGTCCTCTCCAACTCGGGCGTAAAGCGGAACAAAACATCAGAGCTACATTTCCTCCTCGGGACTTTAATCGCGGGCGGACCAGTCTGTGACAGCAGAACAAGCACTTGCCCTTAAACTTGCATGCAGAGGAATTGACCTCGTCTCTCACTGTGATTATTATTGATTAGCAATAGGGATATTACAGCATCACAATGTCTCTTGCGGCAGAGGCTTTCGTGTCGCAGATGGCAGGTAATGTGTTGTCTTAGTGCTTCTGTTATAGTTCATTAACATAGCTTTAGCTAGCTAACATCAGCTAATGTGTACAGCCATGTAACGTTAGCCATTTGCTAACATTAGTCAACAGAAGTAGCCGCAGCCGTTTAACATAGCAGGACTGCTCAGTCATAAGTGTAACGGTGGCTGTGTGTGTCCACCTTTATCTGTTTCTGTAGCAAGGACTAGCTTGGTTAGCCTAGCTCTCAAACAGGGCTGCCAGCTACAGGTCGTAGATGGCTAGCTGAATGTAGCAACAACTTTACAAATATAACGCTAATAATGTTGTTTTTAGGATTGATGTTAGGAATACAGACCCAGAATTGAACGGTGAATTGAAACAGAAAGAGTTCAGGAGGATTCACGTCGATGACAGCCGTGTTTCGAGTTACAAAAACACGTCTTACTTTAACGAAGTGCTGCTAAATAATATTAAATTCAACCGCTGAAGTAAAATCCAAGATGGCGACGAATGCCTTCTTCTGTGAATCTGAAGGGCTGCTCGGCGCTGCTTAGCGCAGTGCTGCCACTGGTGGCCGGAAGTTGTACTGCAGCAATAATAATGTAAAACTGCATCCTGTATATAAAAATGAACGAAGCGTCTTCACTGTACAAAAAGTAAGACTTTGAATCAAAGTTTGGAGTGTTTAAAATAAACATAATACGAGCCTTTACGTCACAAGTGGATGCAATATGCTTTCACACCCCCACAAAAAAAATAAGAAATTTGAATTTAAATTTTTGTTAAAATGTGACTTTGAAATTAGAAATTGTAATTACAGTCCCCAATAGAAAATTATAAGAAGTACGTAAGTGTATATAATAGATGCATATAAGTATAAATTAAAAAAAAATATAAAGAAATAGAAATGTGCATTATGCTACATTTAACACTAGTACGTCAGATATTAAGAATAAAAATAGGGCTGAGTCTGCAAGTGTGTGAAAATATAAAAATATGTGCATTGTGCTGCAATAAACTATATAAACCAGTTTTCTACATGAATATAATAATAATAATAAAACATTAAAAAAAAAAACATAAAATAACAACTATAAAATAATATTTACAGCTATTTTCACCATTTACATGTATAACTGTGCTATTTATATTTTTATTTAAGTATGTATCACATGTTTTAATTTATTGTAAATTATAGCCTTGCCGTTTTTATTTTTTATTTTTATTTTTTGGTGAATATGACAGACTGTTGTAGTGTCACCTCCAGCCACCAGCGGCAGCAGTGAGCGCAGCGCTACTGAGCAGCACTGCATTTAGGGAGGCAAGAAGGGACGCGCCATCTTGGATTTTACTCGGTTCTACAGCGTTAAATGAAAGTTACTGACACATCGTCGGCGTAAATGTTGTTTTTGTTACTTTATCAGTGGCTTGAATTCATGTGAACCCCCCTGAACTATTGCTGAGAAGTTGAACTTTTTTATGAGGTGTTTTAATTCTCCACATTTGTGTAATTAGCACGTTTATTCACGTTGATAGTGTGAAATGTGTTGTATTTCAAGCTAAGCTAAACACGGGGATATACTGTGTAGTTTGTTTGTGCCTCTGTGGGGGCGTGTCTGCTAGCGTACAGATAGATCTCCAATGAGGGTGACATTTAATTTTAAATGCATTACACAATAGATAGAAGAACATTAGCCGTTTAAATAAACAGAAACATAACAGTTATTAAGCCAATTTGTGACCTTATAATCGTCTGTCTCCCTTTGTGTGTCTGTGTGTGTGTTTCTGACCCTGACAGCTGCTGAGCCTTGGCCTGAAACTGCAACCTTGTACCAGCCGCTGAAGGGTGAGTCACTGTTTGTATGACTTGGAGAAATATTATGATCTGTCACTTTAGAGGATGTTAGTGTTTTACGTTACTGTGGTGTCGTTTATTTTTCCCCAGAGGATCAGATTCTGCTGTCAGACTGCGCCTCATCTCTGGCTGTTCAGGTGAATTCTGTCTTTGTGTGTTCCCAACAAATATATCAGCGTGTGTGTGTGTGTGTGTGTGTGTCAGCAGTGTATATAGGGGGGAACGTGTGTGTTATTTTATAGATGATGTCAAGTTCTTTATTAACTTATGTACAACAGTTACAGAAGAGCAGTCATTGGCGGTGAAAATCTTAGATGTCAGGCTCCCTTATAAAGATGCTCATTAAAGACGTATTTTAAAACTCACACATAAGAAATTCCTCCTACATATATTACTTACAGCGACCTTAACGTGTTTAGTCATCAGATGGCTGAAACCAGACTCTCCCACATACAATACATGGATCCTAAAAAGTCTGGGCCGTCTATCAGATGGAATAAATTACATACTCATCAAGACTTCAAAAATCCACCTTTACTTAATGTTGGAGTCCTGTCATGGCTAACTGTTGTTTGCACTGTTTAGGCTTTGGAAAATCCAAACTAGTTATATATTATGTCGGATTTTTATTTGGGACCAACTCCTCCATGTTGTCAACCATGCCACTACCTTTCCAAGTACAAAGGAAGAGGGACTACCAGATGTGTGTATGAGCCACAGAACTGCAATTGATAGAACATGCACTGTAGCATGATACTAACAAACTCTCTGTGTAGTAGATTATGGAGACATTTTAATCATTCACAATCTAATATATACAGAAGTACAAACATGAATGGATCATCATTCTAAATGAATCACCTCAGCACTGCCTGACTGTGTCCTGTGTCCCTCTTCTACAGGCCTACCTCAGGATGTGTGGTCTTCCAGTGCAGGTGGTTTGCAGAGCAAATGCTGAATACATGTCACCCTCTGGTTAGTACACACGCTGCTGCACAGGTGAATCCTGTGGCCATAATGTGAATCTGTCTCACTGAAAAACAAACCTTCTATTGTTAAGTTCAGAGCGTAACAGTCTCCTCCTCTCTGTTTTTTTACCGTCTCTCTCTGTAGGTAAGATTCCCTTCATCCATGTGGGGAACCAGGTCGTGTCAGAGCTGGGGCCCATAGTGCAGTTCACCAAAGCTAAGGTGTGTAACACAGATATTAAAAATGTTACTGATTGCTTGCTTAGGCCGACTGTTGTGTCGCCTCATGTCGCCTGTGCCTCAGACAAAAAGTTGAACCTGAACGCACCAGACAGACTCCGGCCAACGGCCAACTAGCGTGATGTTCTGCATCAGCGTAAGAGGAAGTAGCTTTCCTGTTCAGCAGGCGGCGGTAGTCTATATTCATCATTCAAAAAGTGAAACTGCAAGACGCTTGTTAGCCTCTTGGCACGTTAACAACCCAACCTGATGTGGAAAGAACAAATGACATTTGCTTTCGCTAGGGAACAATCTTTGGCTACAAAAACAATTTAAATTTAAAAAACAGGATTAATTAAAGATGAGAAGAAAATTTTCTCTGTGTTTTTGGGTCCTCAGGGTAATTCTTTGAGCGATGGCTTAGACGATGTTCAGAGAGCTGAAATGAAAGCGTACATGGAGCTGGTCAACAACATGCTGCTTACTGCTGAGGTACACACACACATACATACACTCCCTGCCAACAAAACACACAGTAGAAGTTGTAATTATCAATATTTCTGGATAATATCCTCTCCTTTAACTCTACAGTTGTACATCCAGTGGTGTGACGACGCTACAGCTGCTGAGGTGAGCGTACTTGTCTTTAGATAAAAAGAAAAAAATATTTGGCGGTGATTATTTGTTGCGTCTTGATCATGTGTGCACGTGTTTGTGTAGATTTCACGTCCCAGATACAGCAGTCCTTACTCGTGGCCTCTCAATAACATCCTGGCCTATCAGAAGCAGTGGGAGGTTCGCAGGAAGATGAACGCCATCGGCTGGGGAGGGAAAACACTGGAGCAGGTTAGCTGCCACCTGCAGATAAATATCTGAAGTTTACATGCTTTGTAAATTGTTCTCATGCTTTAGCAGATACTGTTTGTGTTTTTTTGTCTCATAAAATATTGACATGATTAAAAAGTGTCTGTCCCTTCACGTGTTTCAGGTTTACGAGGATGTGAGTCAGTGCTGCCAGGCACTCTCCCAGAGGCTGGGAACACAACCGTACTTCTTTAATAAACAGTACGTATCTCTCTTGGTTCTCTCGGTCTGTCTGTCTGTCAGAGCAGCTCAACAACAGAACAGCTCATAGTGTCGCATAGTGAGAGTTTATACTTCAGCTCTTCCCTGCAGATTCTGCTCTGTGGCTAAAATGAAATGTTTTGAAGCATCTGACAGCTTTCCCTTTAGCACCACCCTGTGGTGTAAAACTGTAATGACCTCCTCATCTGAAAGTGGAGCTTCTCTCTGTCCTGAGAACATTTTGTATATAAAACCAAGGGTAGGCAACCTGCAGCTCAGGAGTCACATGTGGCTCTTTAGCCCTTCTTCATTGGCTCCCTGTGGCTTTGACAAAAAAATTATATAGAAATGAATAACAGTTAACATTTTAATCTTCATGTATCATTGTTGTAGCCCTAAAGGTATTCTTATATTTTCGAATTGTATAAATGTGTAGCCTACATGCTAAATAAAAACAAAAAAAAGTGTTAAAGCCAAGCTCAGTGTGTAAAAATGGTGAATAACAGTGACATCAGTGGTCAGATTCTAGATTGCAGGGCTCACTCGCACTCACTCACTCACTCACTCCTCCCGTCGGGTAAGTGACGGTGGCCTCGTAGGACAAAAAGCCTTGCGCAGACAGAGATGACATTATCCACGAATTTTTCAAGTTTTTCAGGAGCAGGCCTATCTAGCGATGAGGAGAATATTTATTTAGGAATCTAAACCATGTTACGATGTTGTAGTGACCCTGCAGTAAATGTTCTGTTATAATGTCAGTGTTCTGTGAGTTAATGGCATGTTTGGGATTGAATGAATATAGGTAGGGGGGCGGGGTGCGAGTGTGACGGGGATGAGAGCTGTGTGAGTGCGCGTGCTGGTGTGTGTATGAGCGAGCTGGAGGAGAGAGCAGGAGTGCACAGTTGGAGTTACAGCTAAGTTCTTGTTTGTTGGTTGTTTTGGTGTAGTTACGGCCAACAGTAACCTGTACTGTTCAGTAATAAACAGTGGTTTTTGCCGAATAACTGCGTCATCCTTTCCACACGTCCTGGCGGACGCTACAATATGTTATAGCTTACCAGTGAGGTATAGGTTATCTGTGAGATATAACGTTATGTTAGGAGTGTTTTATTTCTAATTGTTTTGGTAACATTAGCACAGTAATGCTAAAATAACACGTTTTATGTGATAGTCACGGCACAGTGCGGCAAATATAGGTTGGTATGATTATAATATATGCGTTTCCAGAGTGTTCTTCCACAGGAGTTTTTTCCACCTGGAATAAGCAACGCCGATATTCACTCGCGTTTTGTCCCGTCCTCGCTTATCTGATCTTTTTCTTTTATTTGGTGGCATGATTTCCCACTTACGGGGCAAAACATATGTGTAGTCCTCCATTTAAAGTGCGACAGAATCATAAAAGTACAAAGCAGGTTCACGCAGAAGCGCCCCGGATTGAGCTTCACCTTCTCTGTCTCCAGTGACGGCAAGTTCTAGGTAAATGCGAAAGGCGAAGCGCGTATATCTCTTTCAGCCACTGTATTCAAATATGGCGATGCAAGATGGCAGCCTCCAGCAGACTGCGCCCTGCCTGTGTATATATGGAGAAATGATTCTAAGCCTGAGAAAGCTTCCATTTGTATGTGAATTGCATCACGCTTTAGTAAATATATATTTATGAACGCAATAGTTGATATTTGCTAATAAACAACCACGTAAATTACACATTGTAACTTTAACATCTGGTCAGCTATGTGTGTCATACGTCTAGGGCGTGGCGCCTTCTCCTAAAATAGCCGAATCTCAATAGCAATGGCAAAGCTTGAGTCACCTTAGTGAGGCTAGCTGTCGATATCGAGGAAATAAAGAATTTAATAGTGAGTGAACAGATGTGTTTGCTTTCAATACTAAAACTGCAAAGTTTAAATACCAAATAATCATTGATAGCCCACTGCAGAGTAACTGCTTTGTTTTAAAACATATTAATGAAAGCTCATTTACACCTATTAGGAATGGTGATAGCAAGATCAAATAAGCAAAATAAAACTTACAAAAACCATCTTGGTTCATCTTTTCACTGTTTCCAAAATCACCAACTCTGGTTTGGTTGAATTAAACCATTAACTCACCCAGTTAGATGTGAAAATATTCTGGCTTTCTGCAAGCTAAAATGACTCTTTATTTAGAGGCAGTCTGGTGAGGTTGGTGACAGTGATTTCGGGGCTGTTTCTAGTTAAACAAAAAGAATCTTACTCTGTAACAAAAAGGTCTATCTCTGTAGGGATCCTTTCCATGATGCTGTCAGACACTTAGAATAACAATCTGAGCCTGTCAGTGACAAAGCAAACACTTTTAGTGGACGTACATTATCGGTATGAATATACACCCAGTGGTTAGATTGCACACTGTTTCGCCGCTGTCATGTCTTCTTTTAACCTCACAGTTCTGATTTCTTGTTTATATCTGTGTGAAAAAAGTGGTTGAAATAATGAGAAGCAGAGATGCTCTGGTGCATCACTGTCAGAGGTTTCAACCGTATGAGATACATTTTAAATAAAATAAAGTGACCAATATGTTGATAAAAAATAACACGGGGAAACTTGGCTTACCTCATGAGGAAAATAAACAAATCTTCAATTGATTGGTTGACTTTAGCTCTGAGAATCTAATGTGTGTGTGTGTGTGTGTGTGTCGTAGGCCCACAGAACTGGACGCGTTGGTGTTCGGCCACCTCTTCACCATCCTGACCACCAGACTGACCAGCACTGAGCTGGCAGAGCGGATCAAGAGCTACAGCAACCTGCTGTCCTTCTGCAGACGCATCGAACAGACCTACTTTGAAGACAAGAGCTCTTGAAGGAATGAAACGTCTCTGTATGATCTCCTCTTGTACATTCGGCCCCTCCTTCTCTCATTCCCTCACTGTAGCACTGACGAGCTAAACACAGCTTGTATTCACACACCTGTCCCCACGTGATGCTTGCTCTCTGTCTCCCTTTTGCTTCGTACTTGTACATTGTTGCATGCTGCTGACAGAAGTGCAGATGAGTCTTTGAAGGATGAAGAAGTGTCCACTGCACAAATACACCTAAAAGTATCCTAAAGTCACAGTGAAGATCACCAACACATATGTACCATTTAAAAAAAGTTTAACACAGACTCAATAATGACATTTATGTGAACACACTGATGATCTGCAGCTCTTTTAGTTTAACTGCTTCAGGAAGCCACCAAATGAATTTTCACCAGACCACAGAGCCTTTACGTTTGCAGCTTTATAGGAAGTAAATAATGATGCAACTCCTCACAGACTCCAGAAGGAGGTCAGACGTCAGCTGCAGGTGCTCAAGGACACTTCAGCAGGGTGGATGCTTCCTAACACAGAGGCTTATTTATATGCTCTTACTGTTTGTCACTGTTTCCACTGTCTTCTGCTCCGACATGTATCATAGTGTATCTACTGCGATCCACTGAGTCTCAGAGAGGCTTCAGTCCGACTGATTTTTTTCCTAGAAGCTTGTAAGAAAGACGAGGCAGCGTTGCTTCCCTCTGTACAAAAACACATGAATATAATGATGAAGAGGATGTGACTTAATCCTTAGTTATTCCACCGTTGTTTTCTTTGTGTGAATTAAAAGTGCCTACAGAATAAAAGTCATTTAACTGAATGTGCAGAGCTTCTTGTGGCTTATTTCTTTCTCCAACATGAAGCTTTGATTAGAGTACAGAGGTTCACTCTTTGTTGGAGTTAATTACTCCAACGTGAACTCCAAAATGTATCACTTAAAGGGACAGATTTTATCCTGAGTTTGAATTTTTCTGTGCAACATTCTTGCCGAAAGCACACTGACAATGAATAATGAAATCACCCTGAGCCTCACTGCACACACATAACTGATGATTCTTAAAAATGTATCACTGACTGAAGTGTTGGTGAAACTTTCTCATCATTAGAGATGTTTTCATATTTTATAAGAGATTAGATAAACTTTATTACTCCCACACTTGGGAAATTCACATGTCACAGCAGCTCAAAGCACAGACAGAAAAAGGAGGGTGACAATGTTACTTGAATAAAAGAAAATTAAGGATTAAAAAAAATAAATAAATATCTATCTGTATATATATATTAAAAAAAATAATAATCTTAATCGTTCATCTTTTTCTATAGGAGTTAGAAAATGCTGCAAAATAAACCTTTTGAAACCTGAGCAAAGTGGCTTGATTTTGTTTTTCAAAAATATGGGAAGAAGGCAATGAGAAATAGAGGAAGAAATTACTCTAAAAAAATTGCAGGAAATTAGTAAACAGAAAATTAAAAACTGGATAATAAGTAAAAAAAAAATCAGGAAAGTTAAAAACAAACAAACAAGGAAATTACCTGGAAAAGTGCTTAAAAATTATTTTTTAAAAATTCTGAAACATAATTTTAAATGTAATAATAGTAATGAATATGGTTTCCCCTCAAATTGTTTTCTTTTTTCCCTAGTTTGTACCTAAATTCTGAACCTATTTATTCATTTATTGCAATTGTAGGACTTTTCTTCCCAAGTTACTCAATGCTTTTTCCCCATGTTTTTAAAGAAATTGCAGCAATCTGCCCAGGGTTCAAAGGTTTAAATACTCAAAAAAGGAAAGTGATGTCACTCCAGGTTTCAAATGGTTGAAGACAACGTATAGACAAAATCTTTTTTAATTTGGGGAAGAGTAGCACAGACAAAATCCCTTCAAATCTAGGCCTACACAATATCAGCCCAGTCTCCAAAAGAACATGTTGGCATTGTAAATTTCTGCAAACCATGACTATGTTACATTTCCATGTTTCATACTAATCATATCAATGTTTCCAGAGTGATGCAGGATATTAGCTGACTGTTATCAGGAGGTGGAGGGGATGGTGGATGGTGTGACACCTCGGAAGCTCACTTGTCGAGCTTCAGACCACTGTCAAAGACCAACAAAAAACAAATCAAGTTGAGATTTATTGCTGTTTTTCTGGTGGTTTTTTTTGCCACTAAACGTGAATATTATTTAGTAACCTGTCACTGTTTTTCCAGCATGGATAGTGCCACGAAAAAGCATTGTTTTACCCTGAGACATCACCACGTTTCCAGTATGGATTGTGCCCATAAAACCAGATGTTTCAGTCAAAACATGATCTTTTTCCAAACCATAACCAAGTGGTTTTGTACCTAAACTTAACTACACATTAGCACAGCCAAGTTTCAAAGTCCCTGCTGCATAATAACATGCCAATGTGATGTATCTGGGGTTTGCAGAAACATACAGTGCAAACATTTGCTCTGGCAGTTAGGTTGGAAAATATACATCAGCGAGCAAGACAATATTTTAAAAAGCCTTTTTTGTAGCAGCTAAATCATTAAACATTCCAACATGTTTCCACCATGTTGCCTCAAAATCTATTTTTAGTCTTGATACGCAGCTGGGTTCACACACTCAGCTGTGTGTGTGTGTGTCTCTGCCTCCAGGCCTCAGACAAGCTCAATGGTAACGTCTGATCACCTCTGACTGCCCCCCAGTTGAGCAGTGTGTGTGTGCGTGAGACAGATGGAGCGAGTGTCTGTCTTCCAGGTTTCCTGTGAGGTCAGAGGGTGACCTTTGAACTTCCAGGAGCTGTGACATCATGAATGATGACCTGCAGTGTGTGAACACTGCGCAGTCAGAGGTCATCAGCCAGACGGCAGGCACACAGGCGCACAGAAAGGTATCTGAGGATGTTCAGGTCAGTCTGCAGCCATTTGTGGGGTTCTTTCTGAAGACTTTATTTTACACAGAACAATCTTACAGGAGGAATACACACGTCTTCACACACACTGTGCTACTGACAGTAACTCTCTGCTTTCTACTCATGCAGCTGCAGACTCTGTCACAACCAGCTCATGGGAAGAAATAATAATAATAATGATAAAAAATAATGACGTCTATTTAGAGCATTAGTTGACTGTGAGAATGTTGTATGATGCAGACTGACATTAGCCTCACAATCTTATGTAACAGCCGGTCAGATGAGGTGAGCAGGTGATTGACTTCATCTCAGCTCTCCTGCAGGGAGACACTACAGGAGGCAGAGACGCCTGAGAGACACGACAACTCATCAGTGGTTCTCTGACCTTTTCTCTTATCTTAGTCATGTAACCATTGTCCCCGTGTACAGAGGAGACAGCTCCAGTATCCTTCATGCTCTCTCCACACTCTTGTTTTTATAGACCTCCTACTTTTATCAAGGGTAGAGTAGAAACTGGGCAAAGCAGTTAAAATTAAGAGTTAACATATGGTTTAAAGGACTTTATTGTTTCAGTATGTGAGGTGCATTTTACAAAAACAGGTTTCTGTTTCATATAGAAAGTGTTAGAAACATGCAGAGAAGCTCGTACTGCTTTCATAACCTTTATTTTGAACCCCTGCACTGAGCACAGATTCACCGTGAGCATCAGATGCACAGATTGTAATGGCAGAATTACTCCAGGAGGGGGCAGCATGGGGCTAGAGAAGCATCCTGCTGCTGCAGAGACGTTAGTGGCCTGCAGATTAGGAATAAAATCACACAAGGAAAAAATTTAAGAAACTAAAAAAGAAAAATGAAATGCAAATCAAAATGTGCATTGTGCATTTTAAAAATCCTAATCACTGTGCAGTTTGGGGCAAATTTCATCTGGAAAAAAAAAATCCCAGAGGAGGACTGTCTTCTTTTTTTAATAAACTGTTGTTGGTTTATTTTTTTGATTTATTGCTTTTTATTTTATGAGAGTAGCCTGTCATGGGTGAATCTGCCTCTGCTCTGTTTTGCGTTGCACCGCTGACCAGTATGTAGCACAGGTTGCACTGGTTATCATTCCGCCTCTTGATGCATGCTGGGCCATGATGCAACAAAATGCAAAATGCAAAATGCAAGAAAAAAACATGGAGGACTTTCAATGGGTGGAGCTGAAAGCGTCTGAACCCACTCAGAATAATTATTATTTCTGCTGTGAATTCAGGAGCTCAATTACACATCATCCACTGTTGGTCTGACTTACCGGATGCAGACTATGGTTACAAGCCTGCCATTGGGTGCTGATTTTGGCCGCCATTCTCCTCTCCTTGTGCTCTCTGTGTGCTACTGCTTCCAAATCCCCTTCACAACAGGAAGCAACAACAACCTCCAAGCTAAAAACATGCTGAAAATAACCTTGATGAAGATTTGGGTCGTGCAATAAGACATGTCTGCTTTGCTGCTTTGGTGAATTGTTGTAAAGATCTACAAAGAAAGAAAAAACCCAGACTCCATCCTGCAGGAATCTCGAGTCCAACATTGATCCATTTTGTGACCCGGCCAGTCGGAGTTCATTTGCCACATCTTTTAACCCTGGCAGCAGCATGTATCGGTGACACTGACTTTACTAATGTACCGATCGGTTCCACTTCACATGAGCTTCTGTGGTGTTGTCGTAATAATGTTCAGCCAGAGCCACATGCAGACAACAAATCATCTGGGGTTTTAACCGGTCCAGTGAGTTCTTCCAGAGCTAAAGTAAAGTCAGGCTTCACCTCTTGGGCTCTCACGATCAAATTCTGCTTGGCTTTTTAAGTTGAATCACACAGCGACACAATGGTTTTGAGCCACTTTAATGGCAGAGCTCGCCACCCCATGTGCAAATGTTCCACCAAAACAAGTTCATCCCGACAATATTTTGCAAGAGCACCTGAAAATGTTCGACTTAGGGCTGCTCAAGAGTGGTGTAGGGGAGGGTATATGTAGGTGTATGAGGTATACGCACCTCTTCTTCCAGCCATTTACAGTCGGGCTGGCATAAAAAATGATACAGTATAGTATCGTGATATATTTTGCGTAGTGATATTGTATCGACACATGGATACCAGGATCGATTTTTTATTATATACATTATTCATTTTTGCAAATACAAATTTTAGTACAACTTTTTGTACGAGAATAATAAAATCAATTGCTTTTTAAGTCCACTAGATGGTGCTGATGCTTTGTTTCCTGGTGAGGTCACAAATCTTTGAGTACAGCAGGAAGAGTGGCATCAACATGTGACACCTGGACTTCAAGGTCAGTGGATTCATATGTGACTATAACGGCACATTATCTGACAGAGGACAGGAGACTGCTGTCTCACATTCTCCAAACTAGAGCAGGACACCAAAGTCACAAACAAACATTGCAGACCTCCACAAGAATGGGGGATTGCCGACAAAAACCTTGTTGTAGTAACAGACACTTCTAACATGGGTGCTGCTGTTCAGTTAGCGCAATACCTGCATGTGAACTATTTCACTCCTGCCTTAATCTGGCCTCGTAGAGGGTGTTAAATCTGCCAACAGTTAAGTTTGTCATGTGTATGTAGCATTTCTGACAGGTTTAATGATGGTGTTTGTCAGTCTGTCTGCTTTGTGTGTGTGTTTTGCTGCAATAAAAACGAAGAGACGAAAACGTTATGTTTTGAGGTAAAACTGGTGTTGACAAAGTAAAAAAAGGTAATAAATTGCAATATATTTTCTTGCAATACTCATTATATCGGCACGGTGGTGCAGTGGTTAGCACTGTCGCCTCACAGCAAGATGGGTCCTGGTTTGAACCCAGAGTGGGGGAGCCCTTCTGTGCAGAGTCTGCATGTTCTCCCTGTGTCAGCGTGGGTTTCCTCCA